TAATATTAAGATTAAAATGCAGTTATAAAAATATATTTAACAGACTATACTCTACGACAATTGTTTAAAGCCCTTTAGCAACAATTGTTTAAAGCTGAATTCAAGTTATTAATTTAGAAAATCTATATAATAAGGCAAGAGGCTTTTTGAAAATGTCTTAAAATGTATGTGAGATACATTTTGATCAAACGGCTGAGATGAGTTGATTTTAAGCATGAATGGCTGAGATGCGTTGTAATATTTTCAACGTCCCGCCCAAAACAATCCTGTCTCCTGCACCCTCTCTCTCTCTCTCTCTCTCTCTCCAACTTCTCAGGTCTCAAGAGCTCTCTCTCTCTTCCTCTCCCTCCTCTCTACTACCGCTCCACTTCCACCGTTATGCCGCCTCCGATCTCCACCGACAGCCACTCTTCATCTCCTCTCCCTCTCAGATCTCAGATCGTCCTCCGCCGTCACCATGTCTTCCCAAAGCAAACGTAGAGAGATGGTGAAACTGATAAGGTTCTCTCTCACTCTCTCTCCTTCGCATTACAACATGCAAACATCTCTTTCTCCTTCCCTCTCACTCTCTGTGTGTATGTATTGATTCGGGGGTGAATCGGGTCTCGCCTTGCATCAACTGAATCATTGAATTTTATTGAATTGTTGCCGCTTTGTTGATTTGTGGTTCAAGATCAACTGGATTCGTTTATTTCTAGGTTTGATTTTCATTCTTTGGCATTTAAATTCGCTTCTGTAACTAGAGATTTGAACAATTTTAATAGGCAGAGCCAGAAACAGATGAAGTCTATGCACAGATCACTTTACACTCAGAAGCAGATGTGAGCTTATTACTGTTAAATCCTTTATTTTTATGCCTTGCAATATTGGGAAAATTGGGTTTTTAAAGTAATTCTGTGTGTGTGTGAATGTTTTATGGTGATGATAATAGCAATCTGAACCTACAAGTCCTTATCCGAGCCCATCTGAGCAACCGAAACAGACTGTTCATTCTTTCTGTAAAATTTTAACTGCATCTGATACTAGCACCCATGGAGGGTTTTCTATTCTTCGGAAGCATGCCAACGAATGCCTGCCACAATTGGTAATTTCTCTCATTTTCATTTCCCTCTGTTCGGTTAGTTATCTGAGGAAAAGAAAAAACAAAATTGAAATTATGTTGATATTATAGTTTCAAGAAATTGGAAAGTAGGCCTAATATATGGGAAATTGGTTGTAATTAGTACTGTTACAGTGGGGTTTTGATTACTCACAATTGTTTGGATTAGGTGATTTGGGGAGAAAAGAAAAGTTACTTTTTTATAATCTCTTGGTGATTGTTAGTTTTGTCTCTAAAATTCTCATGACAAGTGGTTTTGATTTCTCCTTAATCACGTAATAAACCTTTTTTTGTTCTCTTTTCTTTTTCTCTCTCTATTTTTCAAACGATTGGGGATGATAACGGTCTCTTCTCTCTTCTTTACCCAGCTAAATTATTCAAACATTTGAGTTGCCTTTTCATATCCTTCAGGACATGACCCAGTCAACCCCAACCCAGGATTTGGTTGCCAAAGATCTTCATGGGCATGAGTGGCGATTTAAGCATATATTCAGAGGCAAGTCCCACCCTTCTTGCCATTTGCTTCGTGCCTTTTTGCCACGTTGTCGTTTAATTCAGGTATAGTCTATAGATAACATACTGAGAGGTGAAATCTATATTTCTTTTCCTTTGCATAAATTGATGATATCAGGTCAACCTCGAAGACATTTGCTTACAACAGGCTGGACAATGGAGGGAACATACCCAGATCTAAGAGCTTTGAATTGGGCAGTGTCTATGGCGTTGGTTCTTATTCCCACATCTAAGAGCTTTGTTTATTAATTTAATTTTATTATTATTATTATTATTATTATGAATTAATTTGATTTATGTTGATTTATTATAGAATGGCTGAATAATTATTGCAAAAAGGGAGTTTCACCATCAACGGCAAAAGTTCATTTCAACCAAAAACTTTCAGTTTTAATAACCATTTGATAGGCTAGCTATTAAATTGTGTAATCATCAGGTTAGATTTGGAAATACTAATCATCAATGTAAAAGGTTTACATCTTGAAATAATAGTTATAAACTCTCTAGGTTAGATACATGTAAGACAGGTGTATTTTGCTGTGAAATGGTGGCAAACAAGGCTTGCGTAGGGCTCTGTTTTGTTTAATTTCTGTTTGGTTGGCGAGAATTTCTGTTTAATTTCTATTTGGTTGGCAAAGAAAGGCTTTGTATTCACACTTTTCTTAACCTAAGGATGGTTTGAATCAGTAAAAATTGTGGATCTTGAATAAAAGTTGCATTCATCTTTGCTGGAATTCGGTTTTTAAATTCTTAAAAATCTAATCTGTGTTTTCAAGACACACTTTTGAGCTGTCATTTGTCATATTTAGTAGGGCATTCATGGTTCTTTATTTTTGCCATAGGAAGTTACTGTGAAATGGGAGTTTGGGTAATGTGGTGATGTAATTATGGTAATCTTGCTTGCATTTGAAGTTGTATTATTATTGGAAATGAATTCTGCATGTCATGGGGTTTGGGATGCTTATCGATGTACACATAAAGATTGTTGGAAATTAATTTTTGAATTTCTATGCTCTGAAACACTTTTATCGATGTACACATAAAGATTACCTTCCTTTTTGGGATGCTTGAAACACTTTTGATCATCACATGTATTTCTTTCCCCTGATGATTCATATATCTCTGATAAACAGCCAATCTAGATTGTTGATAACTTGGCAGGCACAGACCTTGAAATGTCATAATGTTTCATCAAGAAACACAACATACTGGATGATAATATCATTTTAGGATCTAATTACGAAACACCTGAAAGGATATCTAACTAACATAATTGTTTTTTTTATAGCATTAATATCTATCTATTCTTATAAAAATGTTTTCTTTTTATTGGGACTAGATCATTGAGAACACTAAATGCAATTCTACACTCTTTTTTCATTGTCATCTTCAATGTTCTGTAAGAAGTTTATGAGTGTGATATACTTGATTTTTTTCCCATGCAGCAATGCTTGAAGTATCAAAAACCAAGGCTTTTTGTGAGTTCTTCACCTTTGTTTATCTCATTGAACTGTACTTATAAATTGGCACATACTATGTAATTACTTTCACCAAGAACAAGCTTTCTATTTTATGTGTAATTACTTTCACTTGGAACTGTACTATATAAATTGGCAATCAAGTTTGGTTTTTGGTTTAGTAATGAAATTTTATGCTTACATACACTACTTTCTAAATTTCTTTAGTTTATATCAAGTAAAGTTTTTGGTGAAACATCATGAATAAGTATTTCCAATTCTAACCTAGAGAGTTTATAACTATTATTTCAAGATGTATTCCTTTTACATTGATAATTAGTATTTCCACATCTAACCTGATGATTACACAATTTAATAACTAGCCTATCAAATGGTTATTAAAACTAAAAGTTTTTCGTTGAAATGAACTTTTGCAGTTGACGGTGAAACTCCATTTCATCAAATCTAAATCAAATCAGGGGATTTGTAAAAAAAATTCACCAAATATTCAACAGTCATAGTTTTAATGAAATTTCAGAAAGAGTAATTATTGGATATGCGTTTCTTTCATTAAAAATGGTTAAAACAGATCTTTAGGATAGGTTTGGATTTTTTTAGAAAGATTTGATGAAATAAAAGAGAGTAAGGTTTGAGTGTTCCATATTAGATCAAGCTTTTAACCAAACTATCTCTAAAATTTAATGAAAAAAAGAGACTAGGGTTGGAGATGCTCTTAGTATAGTGATCCTACTCTTTTTTGTATCTCAGTTAACCAAAATTTCTATAGCGACCCCGGTCTTTTCCCATTTGATTATTGTATCCGGCTCTTAATATAGTGATCCTGCTCTTATTTGTATCTCACTTAACCAAAATTTCTCTAAAATTTGATGAAAAAAAGAGACTAGGGTTGGAGATGCTCTTAGTATAGAGATTAGTATTTTCACATCTAACCTGATGATTTCACAATTTATTTTTCTTCCTACAATCTTTGTTGGAGCTGAGTACGAGAAGATTTGGCAATATCAGGTATTTATCAGGTTACGGCTTCATGAGTTTTGCCTATTATCATTAATTGTTTTGTTTTTGGTTCTTTTGTTGATGAATTTTCAATGTGTTGAAATTTTAGAATTGTAATGGATGATTTTCAAGAGTATTAGGTGTTCATTACAATTTTTACTTAATCTATTCAGCTACTCCTGGGATACTCTTGGGATGATTGGGATGATTAGGTGTTCATGATTAGGTGTTCATGATACTTAATAGAATTGTAATACTCTTGGGATTTCAAGAGTATTAGGTGTTCATGATTTTCAACATTATTTTCAACATTACAATTTTGAAAATACTCTTGGGATTAGGTGTTCATCAATCATCCATTACAATTTTTTTTTCAACATTCTTTCATCTGTTCATCTGTTTTTTTGGGGTTCTAATTTTTAAGTTGTTGCTTACAACTTTGCCTTTTTGTTATTGTTTTATTGGGTGTTTTTAGATTTTACATTGTGTTCTCTCCTTGCAATATCTGTTCCATAAATGAAAAATTTGTGTTTGGTAATAGTACTTTTATTTTTTGAAAGAGTTAATTACTCAAACCGAATATGTGTTTCCAATGTGGCAGTAATTCAGGTAGTCCGTAGTTTATTTAGAATTCTTGGGGTTTGTTTAGAATTTCATGGGGCATTCTTCAAATTTTTTTTTTGAAAAGTTGTATTTGTTGAATCGAATTGAAGCAGGATTGTATAATTTTCAGGTTTGTATTTGTGAATGTGCGATTTCTGGGTTTTTGACTGTTTATTCAATGTTTTGAGAGATGTGAGGTTTGTGAGATTTTGTTGGTTTATTATTGAGTCTTTGTTTTTTGGGTTTGAAACTAATCATTGTGAATCTGTGATGTGTTGTGAAGACATACATGTTCAAGTACGATAGTGTTCATGGACAATGGAAGCATCATGATGTCAAGGTCAAGGACTCAAAAACACCTACTTTTTGGCGAGAAACAAGTCGTTGTTTTCGGAGTCAGGTAATTATGTCCTTTATTCTCTCAATTCCGTTGCAATTTTTTTGAATCAGAGTATATTTAAATGAAAAGTTTTAATTTTTTTTTGTGTATTTTTAGGAACCCTGATGAAATCCCATGGGGCGAAACCGGAGCCGATTTCGTTGTGGAGACTACTGAAGTTTTCACTGATAAGGAAAAGGTTGTTGCCCACTTGAAGGTTTGATTTAATTTCCTATTTGTTTTTTTGTTTTTTTAAATATTTTTTTGTTCTGATGAAATGTTTTTTGATATGTATAATTGGGTTGATTTAGTTGTCTGCATCATTGATCTGTGATCAAAGTTTGAATCGAATATAACACTATTGTCTCTCTCATTGTTGTTGATTTTTATGCATCGGTTAGATTTTATAAATGTGTTGATTTGGTTGTCTGCATTCAAAGATCAATGATCAAAGTCTGAATTGTATATAACACTATTCTCTATCATTGTTATCGGGTTGATTTAGTTGTCTGCGTACAATGATCATTGAAGTTTGAGCTGAATGTAACACTATCTCTATCATCGTTGTTGATTTTTGTACATCTTGCTTAGTCAGGTTAAAGTTTGAGTTTGCTTTGAAATCCTTGACTTGGGTTCATTTCTGTTTATCATCATTTCTGATTTCATCTTTGGGATTCTTTATAAATCTGCCGATCAACATTTGAGTCTTAGATCACAGTTTTTGAGTCTTTCTCATTACTCAAATTTTAAAATCACTAAATGATTCGCCTAATGATCATTGTTCAAGTTATTTTTGAAAACAGGTTCAAGAACCAAACATGCTGTCAAGAACCAAACAGCTATTTTTAAAATCACTAAATGATTCCCAGATGATCCTCTTCACAGGTTCAAGAACCAACACATGTTGTAAAAAATTGCTTCAGTTGACCAGAATGACCTTCCGAGTTCCAACTGTGGATGTTTCAGTGTTGGACCTCACTGCGAGCCTTGAGAAGGCAGCTACATACCAACAAATCAAAGATGCTATCAAGTGAGTATTCAGATTTCCTTCATTCCTTCAAATTCACCTCATTATGCAGTATATTAGATTGGCAAATTGAGATTTGCATAATTGTATAAAATTTCTTTGGCTGCCAACTCTTGATTAGCATGTGACGAGGTCTTTTATTCTTTCTTGGTTAATTTCAGGAAGAAATTTGAGGGCAAACTCAAGGGTATTTTGGGGTCCACCGAAGACGATGTGGTCTCCACTGACTTCATAGGGGACAGCAGGTAGATTGTTATACTATTTACCATCTTAATACTCTAGCTGATTGTGTTACTGAACAGTTATATGCCGTGAATTTGAAATATAAAACAAAAAACAAAAAATATGTAGGTCAACTGGGCTTCTGTTTTCATTGAAAGAAGATGAAAAATTGGCTTATGTTCCTTTCTTAGGTGGAATCTTACTTAAACCTTTATTAGTCAACTGCAAGTGCCATTTCACACCCACTTTTCTTCCTTTATTGCATTTTCTTTTTGTTAATAGTAAAACCAATACAGACCAGTGCAATGTAGGAATGGCAACAAAATATGTAGGTCATCTGCTTTTAATTTTACTAAAGTATTTGCACTTGGGTCTTTTTATAATCCACAATAGGCCAGTGTATTGAGTTTTCTATTTGTACTTGAGTACCGACATTATGTTTTGTTCCTTTCTTGACTTGGGTTCATTTCTTCCAATTATGAAAAATTTATTTAGGCCTGTTTCTGTTTTCATTTATGTCACATTAATTTAAACTTTAGTTAGGAAAATTATCCAGTTTTATGTCACATTTCT